CAGCAAATGGCATTTCTATTAGCGGAGATGTTTACATATTTCAAAGATTGATGTTTTCAAACACAATATATCATAGCAAGCAATATAATAGAAAAGGCCATGCAAGGAACAATACAATATGCAGTTACTATTTATCTGACACACTAAATGTCGAGTATGGTGAAATAGTAAACTTTTATGTTGCTGAATATCCCTTCTGCATTATTAATACCTTTCCAGTAGTTCACGGTTCATCACCTCTGACTAATGTACGACCTTGCAGGAACAAGCAAATTTGTGATGTTACATCAGGAAATCATATTAGTACCATCTTTAATCTTATTGATAATGACAATCGGCAGCTCATTGCCATACCCCTAAAAAATATTGTTAAAAAATGTATTTATATTAATATTCCACTACAGGGACAAAAAAAGTCTTATGTCATAGCATTACCAAATAATTATGAGTTTCATTGATTTAACTTAATTCATTTCATTCTTTTTTTTCATAATGAATAAAATGTATAGTATAGCCATAAACAGACATATAATTACCACTTACATTCAGTTTTTCTATTATAAACAGGCATTGTTATTCTTATAAGATCTTGTAAGATTTGTCATAATCTTATTTGACATCTTAACTGCTTGATAAGATTCTACAAGACAGATTTAATCTTACTTTGTCTTACAACATCTTGTAAGATCATACAGGTTCTTAGTAAGATTTATTTGCTGGGTAGCTCTGTCATCATCAGCTTGTTATACCTTTTTCTTGTATTAGGAACTGGTATAAGTGGATTATTAATTACTAGAATTGTTACAATGTGAGCTTTAGAAAATAGATAAAAACCAAGAGTAGATCATACAGGAATGAAAAAAGGCTGCAATTAGTGAACATACATACTGGAGAGATTCTTAAAATTTGATTAAATTTTAAAATAATATGTAAAAATTTAGTAATTTTCATAAATTTTTACAGTCTTCAGGCATACAGTTTACACGTGACGTGAGCTAGTGAGCATTTTATTCAGTAAAGGACGAGGTAAAGGATTAGGATATGATGCCTAGTCTGAGGATTTACTACAAGTCTGTACTTGGACTGAGATGCTTACAATCGAGACCTTTCTCCTCCTCTTCTTCGGTAAAGGAAGATAATAGGCAGTTGCTCAATGCTGGGGCGCGATACCTCTCTGAGGAGAACATTGAAAGGACTAGGAAGAACGTGGAGCTTCGTAAACTTGACATTGATTTTGATCACTTGGTATGGCATGGTGTGATGATTTTAAAGTGGGTCATTCTTATTTTTTGTGTGGGCGTTTAATGGCATTATGTATTGGATTATTAATTTAAGTAAAGTAGCACTAAATTACAATCAAGTGTTCTTGTGTGGTTCTGAAGGTAATTCCAATCGAAATTGGATTTTTGCTGAAACAGAGTTTACAATGGTCGATATTTAATTTATTCCATTTAATTAATGTACACAATTAATTAATAGCAATGGTAATACCATGATTATATTAATTTTAATATAATTGACTCCATCATTATTATTTAAGGCTAGAAAGTTGTGCTATTGATTTTTATTGTCTACTACGTTGATCTAATGTTCTCCCATTGAAAGGTAGGCGAGTACCACAAGTACCTTCAACTGCAGGAAAGGATCAGTGACTTGGAGCATGAAAAGAAA